GTTTGGAGAGAAGGTCCGGTTTGTCAAGGAGATGGAACATTGCGACTGCTAGCGTCCACTTTGTCGTTTCAACACCGGCACCGACCACTACTTGTGCTTCTTGATGAAGCCTCTGCTCTGTTTTCTCTTCAATAGGAAGATTGGATTCTAAGATCTCGTGAAATATGTTTGGCCGTGAGGCATCGTTCTTCTCCTTGGTTCCGTACATCACTGCTCTCAATTCGTTTCTAAGGTCCTATTCGAGCATCAGTATAAACATCTTCCCAAAAAGATTACATAAATCACCTCGAGCCACTCCAAAACAGGCATTGATTTTTGCGGCACAATCTTCTTCAGCACGCTGTATGGTAAAGCAAGCATCAAGTTCATCATCCATGCTATACTTGGAAAATGCTCTGTCCAGTGCACTATAGATAGCATACCGGCTACAGCCACCATAAAATCCGATGTAAACTCTCCTTTTTCGCAAAAATTATAGTTAGTACCAAAGCTACATTCCATCACCACATCTGTAGTATAACAGGAAAAGACATCTCCGAGATCAAGAACCTTATCGGTCCCTTTGTATTCGGTATTAATACGATTAACTAAGGTGTCGACTCGGGATTGGATAAATGGAACAAATTTTTGAATGTTAGGTTTAGAGAAAAAAGGATTGAGCGCGGCACGTCGTTTTCGATGAAGGAAGTGATCTAGGGTGGATTGGCCAGATAACGGGACAGTGGGAAGAGAGGAATGAAGAGGCAGCTTGTCGCGTCTATCGGTGGTATATATTGTGTCATAGAACTCAGGATCGCTGATATGGAGCTCTGTAGGATTGATACGAACAATTGGGCCTTCCAATTTTTAGCACAGAAATGACATTGGATTGCGAGACGAACCATATTTTTCATGCCATTCGGGAAGTTTCCGAAAGAATTGTCCACCTTTTACAAGCTGATAGTATATCTCATACCATTCAGTCGCAGCTGTCAACTTTGGACCAGGAAAGTTAGCCAGAGGACTGAAATATAGTCTATATATAACCAAAGTGAATGTGTATATAGCAATGGCGTACACACATATCAATGGGTTGATTTGAGACAGCAGACCAGATAAAGCAGTGAAGACTTTCATTTTGGCCAATGTAGCATTGTGTGAAAAGATGGAAAGCAGAAAGTCAGCTTTATCTTGGGCGCGGGGGATGAGGATATAAACAGTACTCATCGACATCCCCACAATCTTAGATCCTATTCTAGACATATCACCAACCAATGAAAGCTTCTCATAAAGCGGAAATCCCGTCAGTACACTACATGACTTCATGCACAGCTACGAATCGAAAAATTGACAACAATGTGTAACACTATTGTTTATAAGCAAGTTGCGTTGTTCAGCTCTTGTAATCGCATTGCTGCATACTCGGATCGGCTGCATACTCAAACATTCCAATGAGCATCCAGTATTTGTGTGGTTCTTACCGAAACATGCAACGGAGACCACTTTTCGATCTACAATCATCAATTTCAATGAGATCTCGAACATATTGGGGATTGTAGAAGGAAAGTGTAGACGGCTGATGATTGTGCAATAGCATATGTGAATGCATCTCGTCCCATGATTTGTGCTTCCATTTGTCATACACTCGAGTTGGGTACCTACCTTGGTCAAAAATTATGTTTTGCGACTCTTTCACGTGACCCTTCACAGTAATTCTGTCATTTATTGTGCCGAGCGATTGGCGTTGATGGAAGACAGCGGTCGTCATCGAAGTATATATTCAACGTAGAAAGAACTACACACCAAGCACATCTTGTTTAGTTCTCCCATTTATATACCATTTACAATGATTCATTTATTTTCCATGGGATCTTTCATTGCAGACAATTATACAAGCTTAAAACCTACATCAACACAGATAATCAATAGTCAATCTGCTTCAATCATTAAGGCTATTCCACATTTCCATCGCTACAAGCTGTCATAAACCTTTTTTTTTCTAGGAGAGCCGCTGCAGAATCTGTCGTGAGCCTGGTCATTCTAAGTCAATATCGAGGATATGTCATCAAAAGAGGAGGAAGTTGAATCAGCGGAATGCGACATTAATATGATGGTTCCCAAAAAACGTATTCATGTTCTTACAGAACTACCACGCGAGATAATTACTCGAATCCTATTACATCATTCTAATGCTTCTACTTTGACATTATAGCTTACTATCCACGCGCTCATGTATTTGACAAGTATTTTCACATCCATGGCCACATAGATGGGCGCATTGATAATCTTGAACAAACTGGATTTTGGTATACACGATGATTTCAATCAATATCACATCTGAGCTCAAGGGTATACACATATGTAAGCAAGCTATCCTTCAATGTCCATCTCCACACGAGCAGACCTCCTTATTCCTTCACGCCCCAGCTACCCACAATCGCCATGGCTTTCTCATCACCATTCTCCACTCTACCATCATCTAGTACACCCGCCAGACATTTCCAGGGATCTCTTCCTCCACCCCACTTCAAAACTTCTTCTTTCATCTTCTCGCCATTATCTCTGTGAATGCTACCGCCGGCTTCTCCGTCTTTGAATACCACTTGCCAGATTCTCCTTGCGAGAACCCGGTCGAAAAGATAACTATAGTACGTACTACCGTATCCGAAGAGATGTCCGAAGAAACCTTGCCAGCATGTGCCGAAGGGATCAACTGGGAGAGCACCATGTTTTTGCTGCAGAGAATGATATATTTCTGTCGAGTTGAAAGATGGAGAGAGAGGGAGGTCAGAATGATATGCTAAATCGAGCATAGAAAGGATGATTTGATTTTCGGTATCAGAGCCTTCGAAACGTTTGTCTAATGCTAGTTTTTCGGCTACCATTTCATATGGAAGGGGTTGGTCGGTTTCATAATGGCGTGCGAATAAAGAAAGAACTGATGGATCTGCTGCAAAATGCTCCATGAGAACTGAAGGCAACTCTGCGAAGTCGGTTGCACAACGAGTTCCCGAGACATTCTGAAGAGATGTTCGCCCAAGGATGGAATGGATGGCATGGCCCATCTCATGGAAGAGAGTTTGCACCTCATTAAAACTGAGCAGAGCAGGGCGAGAAGACTTTCCGGACATTGTGACGAAATCACATATGAGGGCTATAGTTGGCAATTGCTTGAGAACTCCCGAAGCTCTTGAAGTGGCCATACCATCGTTAGCAGCTTCTTCATCAGTTTTGAATAGGCTAGTTTGAGAAAATGACGAAGCTTCTTCGAGTTCAGGCGTTGTGATCTCTCGAGAACAGCGAAGGGTGAAGTGCGCGGGATTCGGCGACTTTCCGGGGCGGGAAAACAGATCACAGTATAGTACAGCGACGTGGCCATCAGTTTCAGAGATTACGTCTAGTCTTCGAACATCTGAGTTCCATGTTTCTCCTGGCATTGTCTCATGAGGAGCAAGTCTAACACCGTAGAGACGCGTAAATAGCCTAGAAAGTCCTTGCATGACTGTGCCAAGCGAGAAATATGCTGAAAGAAAATCGGAATTGCGAGAGTGCGAACGCACTGAAGCCAGAATTTGTGACATGTAATAATCTTTATCCCATGGCTGTAATCCTGGAGAAGAGCCATGCGAATTCGACGTCTTAAACTTGAGGAGCTCGGAAACTTCTCCTTTTACAATCTGGTTGTTATCCTTTGCCAGTGCTTCCAAGAATTGTGATACAGATGCTGGACTTTTGGCCATTTTGTCTCCTAGGGCTAGGTGAGAATAACTTTCGTACCTAGAGAGTTTGGCCAGCTCTGCTCTTTTACGCATGAGCTCCTCCAGCTTATATACCGTACTTTTTGAAGCTGTTCGAGTAGCCATGAATATCTCTTTTCTGACTTCTTCATTCTGAACTGACCTAATAGCTGCAGCGGCAGCACCACCAATGGTTGGAATTTTAGTCTGTCCCCATGTCGTGTATTGCCTCACCAGTACTGGGTCCATTCCCTTCAACTTACTACTTTCAAAAGTCAAGTGAGGTTTTGCGGGTGTCATATAATCGACAAATTCAGAACCAATTTCACTGATTTGTTGCGAGAGAGCTACAAACCTTTCTCGCTGGGCACGAGGTAGATCAATGGCTGACTTTGCAAAGTCTTTCCTTAAAATATCTGCAACTACCACTTCTTCCTCTGTCCATCCTGCTACAATCTCCGGTGTTCCCATGGCGATCTCAAGTTGCGTATCCAGCCCAGTGGTTGTATTCAAGATATTCATATACTCAAACATTTTTGCGTAGGCTCTTGATGCAGCTGCTCGTATGGCTGCATTCGGATGTGTAGCTCGAACGAAATCCGATAAATCGATGACTCTGCACAACAGATCACTAAGACGATCTAGTTCTCTAGCAACATGTCTGTATTCTTCAATTGTCGAAGCCTTCAAAACTTTGTCCACAATTCTTTGTGCCTTTCGCAAACTTGTGTTCGCAAAAATTTCGAAACCTTGGGGGTTGACAAGGTACCGGTTCTGAAAAAGTCCAACAGCAGGTCTATTATAACTTTGTTTAGAGGATTGGGAGAATTCAGCCCAGAAATTTGGGGAGTCGAAGATCTGCCGTAGCGTTCTGTCATCATGTTTTGCGCCTGGAGCAGAGTTGTCTACAGGTACAGGTCGAGATTCGCGGTATTGTGTAGAAGCTGTCGCAAGTCTTCGGCGTGATTGAATTTGTCTCCTAACGCACCGAGAACAAACCCACGGCTTGGGCGTGGTTGCTTTCAACATACTCCAGGGCACGTTCGTCCGAACTGTCAATGGCACGAGAGTTGCTGGTTGAATGACGATAGCATAGTAGGTTATGCGGACAAGAGTACTTGGTAGGTAGCTTCATAAATTATGCACATACATTGAATGTGAATAATTACGTCAGCATTTTTGCATAAAAAATCACACGAACGGAACCTTGAAGTTAACGAAGCTTTAACGACCGCGGAACTCAATCCCAATATATACCAATTGTACGATCAAGTCAATTGAGCAATGGCTTCCAGAGTATTCCTGCGGCAGGTCAGTATAATCAAATACGCAAAATTATACTTAGCTAACAATTCAAAGCGCATTGCGCCTGTAGCAACTGGCGCAGCCTTAATCGGAATGGCTCTCTATCCTCAGAGACCATTGCATGCCGAAGCACCAGATGTACGCAGCGGCGTTTAAACCCACTCACATTTCTGTTACTGACCATCGCATGATTTTAGGGAAGAAAACCCATCTATGATGACTTCGAGGAGCTCCCCCCCACATCCGCTCCAACTCTTCCATCATCCAAATCTCCAAGCCCCGCGTCGGAGGAAATATCAAGGAAACATACTGGTCCAACTCCTACCGACAGGCTCGCTGTACAGATAGGAAAGAGTCGATTATTTCTATATGCACATGTCGTCGCTGCCGAAAACAAATTGAACTCCATGATGGACTCTGCCCTTAACCTTGAATCCAGTTTCACATCCACGATTGCTTCACTTGCACCATCCCAACAATCTGGGGAGAAGTTAATGCCTGGAGCTATCTATGTTTTGGTTGCTGCTATGACTGGCTCAATTATATCACGAAACAGAAACATCGTGCTGAGAGCTGCTGTACCATTCGCAGTCGGAATTGGAGCAGGGTGGGTTGTTCTTCCAGTAACGATGAGAAATGTTGCCAATCTGGCATGGGAATATGAGAGAAGATTTCCAGTGATTGCGGACACACACATCAGGACAAGGGAGAGCATAGAGAACGCATGGAGAATGGCACGGGTGCATTCAAAGCAGGCAATTTCAATAGTGGATGGCAAGGTCACCGAAGGAAGAGAAAAGGTAGAGGACTGGGTCAAGAAAGGAAAATAGAGGAGCCGTCTGAGGCTGTAGGATTGTTTCGGATTTGACGAAAGCAAATGCACTGCTGACCTTGTACAAAATCCTTAATAAAAATTTCGTTCCATTCTACAGCCCAATTCGTTGAGTTTTGGTTGTAATACCATTTGATCGAGACTATCATTTTTGAGACATCAGGTTTCTCCATCAATCAACTTTCTACTTCTCACGCATGGTTTTGTGAAATCACTAGTATACGATTGGAGTTGAGGTCACAAATCCATGGCTTTTTTTTTGTACCAAGACTGCAATGTAATCCAGGAAGCAACTCCAGTGTTTTGAGATTATGGACGTCAAGCTCTGATTTCGCTTCGCTTCAATCTCGCTCATCGTTCAGACGCCCCCCCCCAGCCTTGAACGCTCAGTCTAGGTCCATAATTACTGTCGACTATGTCTTTTTCACATTCCGCTCTCGACATTTATTGGATTTTTGCGTGGTAAAGGTAGAGCGTCGAGGATGAAGCTTGCTTGCAATCAAATACCACAACTAACTGATTCGATTGCTGAAATGTTTCATCGTTTCCTCAGTAGGGAATAGTACAATTTCTGAGTGCTTTTCCCACGGGCAATATCAGATTGTATCAAAATTACAAGACTGTAGTAGATAATGCCATTCTAGAAGATATATAACATAATGGGAGGAAGCATGAAGAAGGAAAATATGCAATAAGCCCTCACACCTTGGCAAATAACTGGATGTAATCTACAATCGGATCTGGCAGAGAAATAACCTAGGGTGCAGGGTGAAGAGAAGATCGTAGAAGGGCTTCATAGATGAGGTGTTGATACACGAACTGCTTCCCTTTTGAACTCAGATCTATTTGTTGCTACGCAGGCTCAAGGAAGGCTAGCTTATTAAGTATACACACGTGACGTAGTCGGTACCCCGCCAAAATTATCCCCCGCCGAGATGAGTCAAAGTATCCCCTTCTTGAATTTCGCGTCTATTTACTTTCAACAATTTACTTTCAACAACATCACATCATGGCTTCCGACATGAGTCCAGAGGAATCAATTGCCCTGATCAAGGCAAACCTTGCCGAGGTTCTCGATGGAGATATTATCGACAATGTCATCCTCAAGGAGAAGCGTCCTCTCAAAGTTTACTGGGGAACTGCAACGACTGGCAGACCTCATTGTGGATACTTCGTACCAATGATTAAGATTGCAGAGTTACTGAGAGCGGGCTGTAATGTTAAGGTTCTCCTCGCAGATATCCACGGTTACCTGGACAATATGAAAGCACCTCTCGAACTCGTCGAATACCGCGCCAAGTACTACGAACGAGTAATCAAATCAGCTTTGAGAGCGGTTGGCGTTGATTTGAGTCGTCTGGAATTTGTGCTAGGAAGCTCTTACCAACTTGACAAGGAATATACAATGGACCGATTTAAGTTGGAAGGTATCACCAGAATTAACGTCGCCCAAAAGGCTGGTGCCGAAGTCGTCAAGCAAACGGATGATCCAACACTTGGTGGTTTAATTTACCCTCTCATGCAGGCTCTGGACGAACAATATCTCGACGTTGATGCACAATTCGGTGGTGTTGACCAAAGGAAAATCTTCACCTTCGCAAAGGAAAATCTGCCAAAGATTAATTACAAAGTCAGAGCTCATTTAATGAACACAATGGTTCCTGGTCTAGGAGAGGCTGCGAAGATGAGCTCTAGTGATGCGGACTCGAAGATTGACCTTATCGATGGCCCAGAGGCTGTTGAGAAGAAATTAAAGAAGGCTAAGTGCACGCCCAAGGAAGTTGAAGGTAATGGTGTCATCGCTTTCGTCGAGCATGTTATCTTCCGCGCTCTCGCTCTGAAGAACGGAGGTACTTCAAGATTCGTTGTTGAAAGAAGAGATCAGGAGCCGTTGATTTACGAGTCTGTGGAGAAATTGAAGGAAGATTACATAGCAGACATTGTGAGTAGACTTGTGGGCACAGTTCTTGTTGGCTAGTCACTGATATCAACCGCAGCTCACTCCTCAACTTATTAAACAAAGTCTCACCGCCCACCTTAACGATATCTTAAAACCAATTAGGGAGGAATTCGAAACATCTCCAGAATGGCAAGCAATCGAAGTACAAGCTTACCCTCCAGAACAAGGTTTGTTGCAGTCTCTTTCTCGTGTAGATACTTGGCTAACTCTGTACCAGGTCCAGTCAAGGTCAAGAAGGCAAAGAAGGAAATTGATCCAGCAAGAAAAGCCGCGGCATTAGCAGCAAGGAAAAATGTCGTTGCACAGCCAGATGGACACGTTGAAGGAAAAGATGCCCAAAAAGTTACCGTTGGGTCAAGCACGGAAGAAACATTAGAGAAAATGAAGATTGCCTCGGAGTCATAAATAGAATTATAATATACCCTCAAGCGTTTGGTTGCTTCTGTAAGCACCTGTTCCTCTCATGAATTCTTCTCTTATCCTTGTTCTAACATTTGAAGCGTACTCTGTCCCCTTCGCCAATTCTTGTATGTACAGTATCCTGCCGGCATAGTGTCAAGGGCTCAAGGCTGTGTGGTAACACGACTTGCGCTCATCCCCCCGGGGCTTGGAACATCGATTTAACGAACAGTATCTGCCATCTACAAACCTTTATGGAAATGTTATCAATAGTCACCCTGAACGGGACGTTAAGGTCCACATGATACGAAGTCTCCTGAATCTCTGGGCATTCTCTTCAAATTCTTCGGCACTTCCAGCAATTCCAACCTTCCCTAGTATAATTTGCCCTTTCATCTTCCGATTTCAAAACAACATGGAAAGAGAGGGTTCTTGATGGCTCATTCCTTCATGTAAAATCAATGAATTGGAAGTATAGAGAGCCCATAGCTTCAATAATTAACGGCTAGTCGCAAATCAACAGTCTACCTCGACAGTTCATTGCCGAACTCTGCGTTCAATCATAGATCTCGCAGCTCTAGCTTCCTCATCGTGAGATGCCTTGAAATCTTGACAGTATGAGTGTGGAATCGCTAGTCATCCATGTGCTGAGACCTTCCACCGATATTCACCACCAAGCGAACTTCCAAATGATACTGGTGCTCTTGCTTCAAATACATCGTGTACCGATCCACGATAGCGCATCAGAATCTTATAATAATTGGCTTGGTGAGAAAATTATACAGCAATGTTATACAGTACAGAAGGATAGTGCTTCAACACTCTCGTGTGGTTGTTTTTGAAGAATAAGCTACTTTCAGGTAACCTCGATTTGCCTCTTTTTGTGCGATTCAATCGCATCAAGTGGTAGATCTTGCACCGAATCAACATCTGTAATCGTATCTATAAAATGCCATGTCAACTACATCACCTTTAAGTTTGCGCTTGCTATATAGGAGCACCCACTTAAATACCATCGGGTGGCCTCAGCAGCCGTGGGCCTGTTCAAACCTTGAAGTCATTACGCTTTTTCCAATTCTTTCAAGGAAGAACACTCCAGAGCAGTTCTGAGCTCTACGGTGACGTCTGACTGTCCAATGAACGAAAACACTGAAAACCATTGCGAGAATCAGAGCCCAAGGAACAAATCCTAGCATTATGAGATTGGCATCTATTCCTAACCCAAAACCTATGGTGGTGGCTGTAAGAATGGCGAACACAAGAATAAGCGACTGGCATCTATCATGCACCTGGCGTCGATGCGTGAACGAGGAAATCGAACAGCCCAAAAGAAGACACGATGCGAGTAATGATAATGCATATGGATCCAGAATTACACTAAGACGTCCCGAAATGAAGGTGTAGCCCATAGGTTTAGTATTTGAGATTATCTGCGGTTGGATGTTAGCCGTGATTCAAATCTGGATTTTGAGGTGCGAACTCGTCTTTGCTCATAATAAAGAGTATATCTTGTAGTCACTGTCGCAGATACCATCGCAATCAATGGCTCGAAGATCGCTCCCAGGTCGCTGGCTAGGCAACGTCCGGAAACGTATTCAGGGAGTGATTGTTCGTCTGTTGGTCTTAATTCCAACGCTCGACATCCTCCAGAACGATATTTGAATAAGTGGTTGGAACTTTTACTTTCGGTGTCATTCATAGCCATGATATCAGTAATTGATCCGATTTAAAATTCTTATAGCTTTTTGTTCAAGGACGGCTGATTTTGAACATCTTTATCTACTCAAGACTCGAAAGTAGTACCCAAGTACAAATGTGATGGTGATCGGGTCGTAGCCTTAATAAAGTAGTTGGCGCCCATCGGGCGGAGAGTTCTTGAAACCGATGAATCAAGAGTATTCTAAAAATCCTAGTCATTGTGTATTTGACAAATGCGCTGACCGAAATGCCTGCAACTGGAGAGTGTTAAGATTTGTCAAACATACGAGATATCTCGATTTGAAGCCATTGGGCTCCGAGGAGTCCTGTACGCATTCGACAAAGCTGGGGCCCAACCTGCAGTCATCCGAAACTGGTCACCGAATCTTGATCGCAAGCCTATCATTACGAACATCCACGATTGTCAGTAAGCGAGGTTGATTTTCCGAACCAAGATAAACCTTCGATCTCATTCCCTTCACACCGAACAGAACCTCTAGTTTAGATACATTCATGCCTGAAGTCAGCCTACCCCCACTCTGATATGTTATGTTTATGGTTGAGTATTGTGATATCGCGGGGAAATAAAAGCCTCGCCAGATCCACTCTATCTGCTTGCTCTTTCTTATTGTCCGATTTTCGATCTCAACTGTATATAAAGAATTAACCTGATTTAAATTATTGAATATTTTCATTTATTATATACTCCGAACAACATCAAATTAGCCATGGCTACCAAATTCAATCTATCTGTCGCATCGGCGCAAGAGCGCAGGCCCGTCCGACACGATATCAATGAAGACAAAAAGTTTGAGAAGCTTAGAAATATGTACTTGTACACTATGATGTTTCTCTCGATAGCTTCTCCCATTCTTTACGAATCCTCTCTCTTTGCTTGGTTTATGTAGGTGTATCGAGATACCTATCAATTGACCATATACTAACATGGCTCTAGAAATATTCTTTTCACGGTTACTCTCATGGTAGCTGTTGTTCGGACACATCCTGAAGAGATTAAAAAGTACTCCGTAGAGGGCCCTCCAGATACAAGAATTATCTTCTGACTTTCTCTTGATAGGTTTGGCCCTGTGATATTGCCGACAGCCAGCTTGTTCCTGGTGATGATAGTGTTCACAAGTCGTGTATCGCTATTGGAGATTATGCCTTGGATACCATTTGCGTTTTCCATGTGGCTTTTGATTACCGTTTACTCTTGTCCAGCGACGGTATCACTTGTTCAAGAAGTCCTTCAAGGAGCCAGGCTGGATTTACCAAAACATGGCCATTACATCCATAACTTTACCTGGGATGTCGAGGAAGGCCAGAACCAAGCTCCAAGCTTTGGTTTTAATAAAAAGGAGCCACTGAGACGCGTATCGCAGTCTACAATGGATCACGAGCTTGCATTCATGGGTCGTCCTACTTCAATCATAAGCACAACGTCCAGTGATATTGATTTAGACGAAGGTAATGCGACCGCAAGGTTGGTAGGCGCGAGACTTCTGTCCCACTTTGGGGAAGATAGTCGCGAATCCATGAAATTTCTGGATGAATTGAGGCTCCACTCACAAGACAATTTTACAAACTCCCTGGGGACTTCAGATGATTCCTTGATAGGCCACTACTCAACAACAGGGTCAGCAATCCACGACCATACATGATGAGCAATCCGTTGATATGCACCAAGAGGTTACCAGAACTCACTATGTCAATTTGTCCAGATTCTCTACTGCCGGATTCAGCCCTAAAAACCAAGAGCTGTGGATGTCCTGAGATGTATACGTTTTTCAGCTGGATTCCAAGCCGATAGAAATCATTCCGCAAATGGGTCTACATTTCATACATTTCTCGGATGCATATTTCCATGTGCGGTATTTCTTTTTTTCTCTTTTAGTGCTTTATACCATGGGACCACTATAACTTCACCTCTGGAAATCTCGAATGTCATACTCTTTTCCAGAATTTCTATCCACAAGGACACGACTGCCCCAAAATCGGAATCCAGACCATCTTCCACTTCATTACGCCTGCGTCCGCGCAATTTCAAGAAAGGAGCCACTTGTGACCACGATTATACCCCGAGGATGTTTCTTGGCCGGGAATAGATGAGAATTGCAAATATTGAGCTAGAAAGTGATGACAAAGACATACTGTACCCATTAGTATGGCAGTCATTCATTTCATGTATTTGTTGCATCTTAACCTGTCCTATGGGAATCCCATCCCAAGGGGAAAATGGACTCACAATCTCACCGTCAGAGCCCACCGACAACCGCCATGGCTTCAATTCGTACACGTCATAGTCTAATTCAGATGCTATATGTACGCTATAGGAACCAAACCAGCCAACCAAGATATTTGTCCTCCCTTTCGCATTCTCTGATGTGAATATGTTACATCAATAACCACAAACGCTCGAAATGTTTCTTTCGAGGAAACGTATATTTCAAGGTGGAGCTTTGAAGCAGTGCTCTCTGATGAGACTCTGGACGGCCATTCTTTCTCGCAGTGACTGATCTGTCATATCCGATCGTAGCTTTTACTCAAACACTAAGCTTTGGCTGGCGCATGGGAATCTGGTGGAATAGGATAAGAACTTTTAGGGGTTCGCATGTTAGCGTCATCGCTTAACATGCGGAGGAAGGTTGGAATCTCATTTAGGGGGCTTTGACTGCGTGCATTAGGAAGGTTCTTTGGATGCAAAGATAGAGCATAGAAAGTACTGTGCAAACGGAAAATCGGGCGATGTTCTGATATTTTTTTTGCATTTCCTTTTTCCTTCGACATGGCAAAGCACAGTTTGGGGCGGCAAAACTCTACGCATTATAGCTTCATTGGTTCGATACAAATAGAGATGGGCATGGGGAGAGAAGTATATTAGCGGAGGGGGAGCAATAGATGATAGTCTTTTCTGTTCATGTTTCATCGAACTCGCAGGCGATTCGGGGAGGAATATTTTTGAACCAGCCATCGATAAATGGGTTGCTAGACCGCATGGTGCACATGGATTATCCTTCGTAGTAGCATGCTTGAACTCTGTGAATATCTTCGAATGAGATTCAGTTATGCTTCTCGAGTTAGCTACAACGTCAGTTTTCCTCCGATATGACATTTGAAACGTTGATCAGGTGGATCCAAGTTTAGATTGGTCGATCGATCGAGGAAGGAGTTGTTCATCATATATTTCTACTTATTCTACGGAGACTGTCGGTACAACGAAAATATCAATTTCTCGCTAAAATTGAGGGACACACAGAAATCGAGACAGCCACCTTCACCTCGTAGCGATATCATTGAGGAGAGTACTAAGACAGTGCTAAGTTCCAATCACTCATACATAAATAGTACCTACTTATATCATATGGCATCAAGTGATCTAATAAAAAGGATTGCCGGGTTCATGCAAACATAGTAGTACAATTGATTGAGCCTTTGAAGACGGCTTAGTAGGATGTAAATTCAGAGGTAACCATTTGTGCCCCCTCAAGAGGGAATTATACTTTTAAAACGCCATTACTAACTCAGATCTTTCTCTCCTTCCAAAGAAATCTAGTTTAGAAGATAAACTATCCCCCTTCCATGAAATGCAAAGTGTGCCCGCCAACTTGTACCTCATCTTGACCCAATGACCTCATTCATTCCGAACTACGAACCAAACGAATAGCGATGTTCCCTACTCGATAGCGCCGATCTCATGTTCTTTTGCTCCAGACGCAAGGTAATGATTTCGGTCTGTTTTGGGTCTTTGAGGACGCAAAACATTGGGTAGGAGTGCTTCTCTGATTTTTGGTTCCCATGTAAACTTGAACTGTCGATCTGACCCACAATACGTGTCGTAGCCGTCCTCAACGAGCTCAGAGTAACCTCTTATCTCAACTTGAAATCCCTTAGTCACCTTTAAATCTCTAATGTTTCTCAAGATCTTCAACGAACCTTCTCCCTCAGCGAGGTTGAAAAGGGCGCTCTGTGTGCCGCTAAGACTTAGCGTCAAACACTCCAAGTCCAATTTTTGAGAAATGAGTTCTATTAAAGCTTGAAACCTTCTGTTGCAACTCTGTATTGACTCGTCGCTGCTGGTTTCCCATTTTAAACACTCTTCAAGTGTAATATTAATCACGAGCTCTTCAATCCCTTTCGTTATTCCTGGGCTTGCTGTTAGGAAGTGCCCTAAAGCTGACTTCCTTGTGACGTCATAATAGTATATTTGAGATCTTTCCCAGATTACAGAGCCAAACTCCAACCTAAATTGCATGCTGACATTTGCTAATACTCGAACCCACTCGAGGTATGCCCAGTCGAGCCTTGGGCCCCAAGTATTCCCGATACTTCTTGAGCTCTCCCCTTCATCAGCAACCTGCATATAATTCCCATCTCTGTTTGAGTGGTCTTGATGGATATGTACAAAGTCATTTGCACATTTGACAAACTTTGAACGTAATTTTGCTTCTTCCTCGTGCGAGAGACAAGGCTTTGAGCGATTCATGTCTCCCAGATATTTCTCAACCCTGATTCCAAAACACCACTCGTACCCAAACTTCCATGGTCTATACCGTCTCGATAACGGCATGATTGGAATAGATGTTTGATTTGGGGTCAAAATGAAGGAGAGTAGAGGCGATCAATTGAAATATGAGCTTTCGAATTTCAGCCGGCAAGTCCGTGAATCTAAACAAACCCTGTCTGGGAATCGATAAGCAATGTACACTTTAGGATCAAGAAATTCATACCTTTGATGTGTAACAATCTTGTCATCTGTTCCGCCAGAGTTGTCACATGTCGCTCCAATTCTGGCCTCGTGTATGGCTTTAAGTCTTTCTTCACGATGAGCGATCGATGCGAAGTAGAAATCTCCGTAGTAATTGAAATCATAGGGAATTCTGCTCTGATATGGAACAGGCGATGCACTATGCATGATCATGGGTATGAGTTCTGAAAAATGAAAAGCTTGATTATAATGGTTCTACCAAAGCAAAAGCCGAACTGGTAACTCACTTTCTTCTTCGCTCTCTGCTGGCGTCTTTACGATCGCAGACTCTTGCTTCTTTGTCATCTCCGTATCCACGGCTGCGTAGTTGTTATTGCTGGATGCGGCAAGAAGATATTAAAGAATAAGTTGAACAGGTTTTGAAAGACTTGAAGCTTAGGTCACCCAGTCGCTTAAATGTAAGAAAGTCATCGCTTGGAGGTGAGTAATACAAAGGTCGAGTGAATTCTGAAAAATGGAGCATAACGTTAATCATCACAGAAAATATCATGAGATTCATTATGACCAATCAACATGTCATCTTGTATTATTCATTTACTATGACCTTTCGATCTTTCCTCCGTGCTTTGGCGGTATAGAGGGTCAAGATTGTAATATCAGATATCTTCGAGGGGTATTGACTGCTAAGCACATTCGTGAGTATTGTTAGACCTAATGATCTATGCTCCAATATAACAAGCGCATAGTTATTTAGAAGTCATTCAAAAAATCACACATTGAGAAAAAGACAACACGTTTTGTGTATTTTCGATATGTGTTTTTGGTAAGACTCTTGTCTTGTGAGATTATGGAGACCAGAGAAGGCCACAGTCCCTGCCAAGCCATGAATGATGAGACACAAGTCCTTGGAGTTTTTCCAATTTTCCAAGCAGATTCAGTGAGGATGCATTGTCAGATTTCTTGAGTGAGTCTATGATTTTATGCGTGGGTGCCGTAACCCCTACTTACCTACTTGACTATATTGTATGAACTGATTACTTCGAAAAGACGTGCGGTGATGTTTAAAGATTATGTTGGCATGCCTTATCTACGGCGTTGAATTACGCAATTTTGGTATGATAGCGGTAGTTACAGAGTTCTTCTATCATTCTTTTATTTTATTTTAGCTGACTGGTGAACATCATGTGTGTTGATTTTGTGGAATTGCGTCTTCAACCGGAGTGAAAATCTCATAATGTGCCACCCTAACTTTCAGAATTCTGGACTAGTAGTAAAAATCATCAGCTAGAACATACAAATCATACTTACTCTCTACGTCAGTCAGCCAAAATTCTTAACGAAATCAAATTATATCATAAATTCTGACAAAATAAGCATGGCGAAGAATATACTAGATCGCTTGGCACCAGTCTAACAGCTAACTAAGACTCGATCGTGGCTACGCTAATGTAGAAGCTACTCATACCAACACCACCCTAGGGGATTTCTTTTTGGACTGATCGTTTTCCCCAGGTTTTACTTAAATACTCTCATTCCTTCAGTGCAGAAACATTTTTTCAGACGGAAATCACATTGACAGCAATCGATACATTCACAATTACCGCACTATCTCCTAGATATATCAAAGCTTTCAATACAATCCTCAATCTCATTCATACACCACATTACCGTATTAATCTCATCGCCTCATTATAATTGCATACCTACCATCTAATAACGAATTGAAATGATGGATTCAATGAACATCACCATTGGTTGGGTAAGTAATATCCTATCTTGAACCACACATTGTCTCTCGCCTATTCATACATGAAAGTTTCACATATCGCTTATGATACATTGCCTTTCTCCTACTTGTCCTGGCTCGCATTTTCAATAATCCAATCTAACCAGTTTTTAGTCACCCGCCGAGTCTCGCCCAGGCGATTTAAATCCCTTGAAATCGGACGACTCAACAGAAGTCAGCGACAGGGAAGAAGAGCGAGGCCGCAACCTGCAGAGAAATGAGCAGCGCAACGCAAAGAGAGGCCAGGGTGACAAGAACGAAGGCAGAAAGCACCGTCATAACGCCGTTGATGTCAATGCCCTGCAACATAAGAAAGGCTCGCCTGTCTCTGCATCAAAGCCTACGGCGAAGAGAGGTCGCGACGATGATGAAGGCGACATGACCTCAAAGAAACAGCTGGATAACACTATAGACCAGAGAGCTTCAAAGAGGAAATGTGATAACTCTGCTAAGGATCGTAGGATCCTGAGTAGTGCGTTCTTCGAGCTTGTTGAAAGAGGCGGAGGGCAAATTCGATACGACGTTAAGGAGGACCCGTGGGGGTTGTCCAAAAAGCGTAACGTCGCTAAAAATTCTTGGGAAATGAGCACAAAGCGATTTGACGACGAAATGACCATGCTCGATGCAGCAATGGTTGGAACTTCGTTGAATTAATGAAGGTTATGTCCCCTCGCTGCTGTGGGCTGGTTTCTCTTGGGCGCTATGTACCTTGTTATTTAAATTGAATGATCGTGTTTCTTCTTCACTGAATGATACTGAAATCCTCTATTACATGAAGTGCGACTCGAACTCTCACAGGCATAATGCAATTAAGGATGATACTGCAATTTTGAATGTGGCACTTGCCTTCTAAGTAGCACGTTCCGCGATTGACAAACACTTTTCATTTTGACGGTGCGACTGGGTAGATTCTTTGCTTCTTGACATTATCTTCGTGGGTGATAAAACTCGTGAGTGAAGCAATAGTATACACGGCCTCAGGCCAATCATGCTCCTGCGTCCATGTTAATGACACATTTTAAAGAAATCTTTCCTTCGCTCATTAAATCACGCCGCCATCTTAGACCAGCTCGCTAGTAACATTAGAAAATTCACCCTTCTCCAACTTCGTCTTCCAGAATATTGGGTTGGTATCATTGAATCCGTGCTTAACCCATCCATCTTCCTTGACATGGTACAAATTGATGAAACCTCCAGAATAGGCGTCCCTGTGTGTGGCAGCCAAAATACTTCTTCTTCCCAACTCCAAGGCTGCTTCCTCGCTCAAATCGTATGAGTATTCGGCATCTAAAACACCATATGCAAAGGTTTGGCCGGATCCAACACAAAACAGGTTTCCACTCAATCTTGTTCCGTCGGAATCAATGTAGTAAAGTGCGGGCCCTTCTTCCTTGGTAACACCGGCACACATAGTTCCCATGGACAATCCCATACCCTTGTATCTATAAACGAGGTTTGCAAGAATCTTAGAAGCAGCTGCGACGGAAATGCGGCGTTTGTGACGAAGTTCGTGAAGTCTGCATTGCATACCAAGATATGCGAGCCAGTATTGACAATCCTAAGTTTCAAAACCTCAGTCATGACCAGGGAAACAATCGGTTCAGTGATGAATCTGATAACTTACCGCAGCACCACCAGCCATTGTGCCCAATAAGCAGTTGTTGATTTCAATGACCTTCTTAACAGTTTGACTTGCGATCCAGTTGCCTGCCGTTGCTCTTGAATCTGTCGCTACAATAATTCCACCTTGGAATCTGAATGCTAAAGTTGTGGTACCGTGTGCGATCTTAATGGGACAGTTTGGGTTCGCATGGTCATCGGTAGCTGCTCGGAGCCAAGCGGATGGCTACAGATGGATTGATTAGCTTTTTGCACATCAAAGTTCTATAGTGAACAGAATTCCGAGTCTGTGAATATATAATCGTAAGGCTAACGTACATGTGCGACAGGAGGCATGGCGAATTTCAAAGATAAGCCAGGAGCTGGTTGGTATAACTCCATCTGGTCTTCTTGAGGAGCTTCCTGCTCGCAAGCAGGTGTGCTGTATTGTGATACTAGAGAATCCATTTTCAAAGGTCAAGTTAGAGGTTGAGGTTCGAAAAATTTAGCGGAAGCAGAGTTGTGGGATTGACGTCGCTGATGGATTTGATGTTGATGTTGTATACCCAGTTACTAGGCATTGAATATTAGTAGCTTACTAGGCAGCTTGAGTTTCGCGTCAGCGGGCGGTAACTGCTCGTTTTGCCGGGCCTTACTCAATACAGACTAGCGCCATCAGTAAATTGTACCTTATCGAGGTAATCTTTCGATATCAATATAAAGCTTCCCCAGCTGCATACAGAGGACAAGCCTCACAATTGTTGTATTGCTTTTACTAATTTTTGGACAAAAACTTCAATCAGAGGCAATGTTTGAATTCCTCTTTTCTTCCTCTATCGCCCGATAACCTTACTGTGACGCGATATCATGACTCGGAACTGTGACTTCCGCACGAATGTACACACAAGACACGATAGGAGCTACTACTCCGAGCAACATTCAACATTAAGTGCGAACAAGATGGGGAAACACAAGTTAACTTCACGTTATCACATTTTTTATCATGCAAACAAGCCGCAGGTACTATTTAGCATCGTGTCATGTACACTCTCGAAGAGGAAGACGAGAAGAGGACTTTTGACCTGGACCCCACTGGTACTTCTACCGACCTCTCTTCCAAGCTGATTTGCTGGTCAGTCTCAACCATATACTTAAGTATAAGATCTCTTGACTATATATCTGAGTGTATGATCAGCTGAATGTCGAGCTCAGCTCTCTAAGCCGTGGAAGCTTCGAATGCAGTAAGGTAAGGCATAATTATATATATCTGATGCATCAAACGGATACATGTGAAGACTTTTGTGCTTTATTATTGGTATGCTCTTTTACTTCCTTTTGACCATCCATGTTCACTCGAGTCTGCGAAGTTCACAACATCCTTGAGTCGAAGCCGTTCAGAGATATCTGTGCATCGCGAGACGGATTGAGCAAAAGGAAATACCAGCCCTGTTGCTTGCGACAAGGATTGATTCGCAAATCTTTACCCCAAACTCTCAGCTGTCCAGTGACAAGCAGTATATCCACCCAGCTCCAAATTTTATCCACGTTCTGGGCTCATTACCGAGATTCATTTAAACAGGATTTGTTGGGTGGTAAACCTTTGCGATACAATCTTAATAACGACCACGCTCATTGACATTCCTAATATATATTCATCTCATTGTTCACCGATCTATCCACATATCCTTTGATGTCAATAGGAGGTTACCCTAAATCACTGCATTCAGCCTCCAAATCTACCTTGGTGATTAAAATACGTCAGTTTGTTATACAATCTGTTTCTCAAAACTTCACTACGCAACTTTGGGAATATCGCTTCGCTATCACGATTCCGTGTCTAAAAGCCTCAATCCGAATATTTTCATGAGTGTTCAAACACCATATTGCCTACCTTCAACATAAACCCCCATTTGTTTACCTTGGGTACCTTTACTATCGTGTTCTCGGTCAATTGCCGATAACAGATTCATTTGTACGTCCTTGTACCAGTGCGACGTTATCGTCGGATTCATCAACACAGATCGGAAATATTGGCGTAGAAGCCGTGTATCTGTCCCAAATATTATCAATTCTAGTAGCCGATGATAGATTGAAATGGTTTTATACTAATTTATCCGTTCCCACATTTTTAAGCTTATATGTACTGATCTCATCCTTTTGATGAGACCTAATTCATTATGTTGTCATCCTCAGAACGCAAAAGAATTCGCGAGGTTCGCCGCTACTACAAAAGATCTCCCGATGATCCCCCTATCGCTGGCGAAAATGCACCGGCCGAGAGTCCCGAGACAGTTCGGTCCGTGGAAAAGGCTAGCAGCCCCAATAGTACACTAACTGCGTTAATGCAATTGATCACGTGGCGTCTTGGTGCCTCAAGAGCGATGGTGTCTGTTGTTGATGATAATGCTCAAGTATTTTCGATTCCTATCAATACTACTTTTGCAGTATACTCACGCCTCTACAGTACTTTCTCGCGGAGGCAACAAAAACACTGGATTTGTCAGACTCTTCAAAACATGATCCAGGTGATGATTTATGGATGGGTTGTGGAGGGTAAGATATCTTACAGTAATGAGACTTTCGGGACCTTTTCTGACAAAAGCCACGTTTTTCAGAACTATTCGCAGTGAAGCTCTATGTGCGGTGAGTTTTCCAGACCACCTGTCGCTCACCACTAATATCTTGTGACTAGTACACTATAGAAGTTATCCCTGAACCAAATCATTATGCCTGTTTCAGTGTCCCGGATTTATCGTCCGATCCCAGGTTCTGTAATCTGCCTTATGTTGCAGGAGGACCGAGATTTCGATATTATGCAGGAACTCCTTTAATCAGTAATACCGGAATACCGATTGGAAGTGTCTTTGTCATTGATCCAAGACCACGTGAGCGGGCCACGAGGGCGGAGGTCGATTTCTTGGGACTAATGGCAAAAAACGTCATGGAATACCTTGAAATGAAACGGGAAAGTGTGCAGTTGCGCCGGAACGATGTGATGTCTAAAGGATTGGCTGCTCTAGTTGAGGGTCAAAGTAGGATCCCGCGGCAATTACCGACAGATATGGTCGTCAAGTGCCAAGACGCCAACGGCTCTCACTCGGATGAAGCGACAACGATTGATACTAATTTGACTAGTAAAATGGTTGTTTTTGACACGTCTTTAGCGACGGTCGCCGAGCAGTCATTGGAAAATATAGTGGGCCCTCCACACGCACTGGCTGGGGAAAACTTGCTAAATGATATCCTACCTAATACATCTATAGATCAATTGGTACTGACTGATGCCCCAGCGACTCATGATCGAATACTCTCACGAGGCGCCAATCTACTGAGAGAATCTCTCGATGTTGATTATACAATTTTCTTCGACATGAGTGTTGGCTTTTCAACCAGTGTCGAAAGTGAACAGAACGGAGATGTCAGATCGTCTGAAGATACATTTTTGGATGATTCAAACACAAAAAATGACTTCACAGCACCCGCCTATCTTTCCCAGGATGATGATGTCGATTTATCGAATACATCTGCCCGGTCTTCATCACTCAACAGGCGAAGTAATGAAGCAGGGTCTGCTAAAGTTAGAAGTTTCTCCACATCAACTTGTTCGTCATTGGATGGCGATACACTATCTTGTAGCCTCTACAGAGCGCCAAATGAAAAAGATCTGCAAAGACTTTCGAAAAGATATCCTAAAGGTAAAGTATGGACGTTCAATGGCTATGATTCTGAATCTTCAGAAGACGATAACTCACCACCATCTAAACAAATGTTCGCTATGCAGCTTGATCCACAAAATCATCGAGTCAGGAAATCTGATCGCAGCATACTGAAGCAGTGCTTTCCTGATGCTCGAGAGGTTCTTTTTGCTCCACTCTCTGAGGCAGGTACTGGATTACCCATAGTGGCATGCTTTGCAGTATCCCTACGGGACATAGCGATTTTCACCTCCGATACTGAAAAGGCATTTGTCCGTGGGTTTCTGAACAGTGTTTCTATTGAGTACAATCGAATATCCATCGCGGCTGCCGATCGTCAAAAAGGAGATTTCATATCAAGCATATCACATGTAAGAAAACCAATCCTATTCATTTGCAGGCATTTCTAGTAGGATATGTCTTCACAAGAGGTGCTCAAGGTCGAGCGTTCAGACGCGAGCCTCGGAAATCTCAGATATTTGTTTGTTGGTTTTACACGGTAGCTAGGATGCCCTACAGGTCAACCACGACAGCTACCTGTACAATCAGTCGTTGGCTCATGTAATCTTGCAAAGTAAAGCTGATTGATTCTATCGTCAACAGGAATTGAGAAGTCCACTCCACGGAATTCTCGGGTCTGCCGGTATTTATATTCTGTCTGGATCACTCAGTATATATTTTAACAACTCCAATAGAGCTTTTGAGCGAGACGAATCTTGACAATGGTCAATATGAATTCTGCTCGACAATAGAAACATGTGGACGAGTCCTTCAAGAAACTCTAATGGATGTTCTTGAATATGCCAAGGTATGAGCTCGATTTTCTCCCTTGATTTAATAGTCGCGGAGCCCGTGAATCGTCAGCTCTCTTATCACATAAAGCTAATGCGTATAGCTAAATAATTTAATGAAACATAAAGGGGTTAGTGTGAAAGCTCCAGGTACGAACGGAAATTCTTCCAATTCCCAGCAAACAAACGGCCGAAGTCTCACGAGCGACGATCTCCTTTCTCAACCTCTAGATCTTGCTAGAATGTGTGAAGACTCAGTGGCAATTGTCGCAGTTGCATACATGCACCACAAAACGAATTCCGAACAGCTTCTACATCGAGTAATGCAACCTCCGGGAACGATGGAAACGCAAGGGAGTCAAACCCTGTACAAATCTAACTCTGTCACTGTGTCCCTGCACATTTCATTTGACCATTGGCACTTCTTCTGCTCTCCGGGATCTGTGCAGCGAATCATCATGAATTTAGTCGGCAACAGTCTTAAGTATACATCGGCGGGCTTCATAGATATTTCTTTGGCTGTTGAATCACCCAAAATTGACAACGCCAAGATATCGAAGAGACCAAATATTGCCACTGATGACTTAGTTGTACTTCGAGTCAGTGATAGTGGCAAGGGTATTTCTAGTGAGTTTTTGAAAAGCAAACTCTTTATAGCTTTTTCTCAGGAGTCGTCATTGGCACCAGGTACTGGTAAGAACCCGACTATTGCTTTGATCTCATCGTTATGCTAATGTGCTGTGTAAAAGGACTTGGACTTCACATCGTGTATTCTCTCGTGCGGATGTATAACGGAACTATCGATGTTCAAAGTCAACTCGGACACGGAACAACCGTTACAGTCAAATTACCCCTTAAAAAAGCAGTATCTAATGTAACTTCTATCACCCCCTCCGATGCACTTCTCAAGGATCAAGTCGAGGAATTAAAAAGATTGCTCAAACAATTTAATTATTCCAAGTTCTCAACTCACGGTTTCCGGTCTGGCTCATCTTGTTATCTAAAGAAATCCCTGCACGCCTATCTTACTCAGTGGTTTGGTATGAATCATGAACCTGACGATGATGCTGCTGATATTGCTTTTGTCACTGAAGAAAAAGTCGATTTGTTTCTTGCAGAGCTGATGAAAGATGGTGCATCCAAGCCCTCGCTTATAATAGTGGTACGATATATTCCAAGTCACAGCCATACATCCCAACAGAACTCGGCTATTGGTATACCCCTTGAGACTCTCACGATACCGTTTGGTCCCTGGAAATTATTGAAAACATTACGCACCTGTCTATCACCAAAGCAGATACTACCAAAACCGCCTCCTGTAACCGATCATAAATTTTTCTATACCAGCCCTTTGCCGTCCCCGACCGCTGATATCCGAAAAGAACTTGGAACAACCGCCGTCAAACCCGTAGTAGAGGAAGCACTTACTGAAAAGTCACTCTACGTCTCCCAAACTCTATCAAAACCAAGCCAGCCAACAATTCTTTGCGTCGATGATAATCCTATCAACCTTCGCCTCCTTAGAGCGTACTTTCGCAAACTGAATTTCGATATCACGTGTGCGGAAAACGGAGCGGTAGCGTTCGAGAAATATCGTCTTCAGCCCAATGGTTTCGATCTTGTATTAATGGGTACGTGAATAACACTTCTCTTGACTTTGATTTTGTTCCCCTTTTCCACTTCAATCCACATCCAATAATCCAAAATTAGCTAATATATCTCACAAACCAAAGATATCAGTATGCCAATATGCAATGGCTACCAATCTACCCGACTGATTCGATCGCTCGATAAACTCCAGCAAAGTATTAGTCCGACCCCATTACCACCCACCCGTATTGTGGCACTTTCGGCTGCATATTCAGATGCAGATATGGAGAAGGCGAAGGCGGCAGGTATTGATGATTTCTGTGCAAAGCCGATGAAGGTTAGTAGATTGGAGACGCTGATGAGGGGCTGGGGATACCTAGATTTATGACCACGGGTCCAATTTGTTGACTTGAGCATAATCAAATTTGAGATTTTATGGTATTGTAAGGTTAATGTAAAGATTGTATTAATTACACAAGAAGACTGAGGATTGGGGATGATTGAGTAGAGATACATTTATAAACGACTAATCGAAAGTTTGGATACATAAAGGGAGGGCGTATACGGTGTCTTAAGAAAAGGAAATGTTGAAAACATTTGGATTGTATATCATTAACACACGGAAAATATATCATACTACTTCAGTTCTTATATCTTCGTTTTCGGAACTTGTAACTCCAATCTCTCCGTTTTTCCCCGTTTCTCTCTCCCAAAGTTAAGTTTTATACCTTCCTAAGGCCTGCTTGTTCACATTCGTTTAATTCTCTCTCTGACCTGCCTTCTAAGCCTCGCGTCATTTACTTGTGCTTTATGAGTGCCAATAAATTTCATATCATCTTCAAAAACCGGCAAGAAGAATCGTGTTTTGCATCGACCCAATGTTCCATCACCCGTATGAGATTTGTCAGAAGAAGCTTCCTCGTTCTTCTTACCTGGCAATGGATCTGATTGTGAATAACAGATAATCATGGAAAGTTCCTTCTCCATTTGGGGTTTCAATGGTAGAATGTCGAAATTCAGTGCAGAAACAGCGTCGGTTCGAGCCCTATCGTTCGCTTGCAGGTCAGAGTATCTAGCCCAAACAGACTCCAAGTCAAAGGCACCGCGCAAGGAACCGTAGCAGATCTGATGAGATCGTAACCGAGTAGATTCTAGATTAGTGAACGCTTCTTCGTTGATAAATGTTGTCCATATTCTTATGATACACAAGATTCCGCAATATCCTCGATTTTGCGAACACTCTGATTCGTTATGCCCCCAGTATCCGTCAGCCAATCCTCCTGACGTATAAAAGTCGATGGCGAGTAGTATAATTGCATCTTCCCAAGGTGAGAATTGTTTTGGATAGGTATCGATAAGCATTATCGTATTAGGTAAACGCAAAGTCGATCGGTGTCAAGTAGTGGAGTAAAGTAAATGTAAGACACTGTGAGATCAGAAAGACAATTAGTTGCCGCTTAAGCAAACAGTTCCCCTGTTCCGACATTCGGACCTAACCATGACTTGAAATTTTTCGAGCAAGAGAAATGTTCAGGAGTGTGTGATATGGTGCAGAATGAAGTAATAAGATGGTACTTACGACGTACTTTGTATTGTAAAACACAGTGAGTGTGATGGCTTTGCGGGTCCGATGTGTCGATTCTGTGACTTTTGCAATAGCTGCGAGAGTTTCAAATAATTCTAAATAACTAGCCGTGATTCATGATGATAGAGTGGAGTGTGGCTGATTTATTTCTGGAAGTTGAGATAGCAGAGGATAGAGTATTCGATTAGGGATGGCATGGTAGCTTTCAAGGGGAAAGAACGAGAAGGGAATGTGGAAAGAGCAGAGTTGTTCATAAATCAAAGAGCTCTATGTTCCTTCTCCTTAAAGGTGATCTTCTTCACGAAAGTTGCGACAAAGTGTTGCACACTTTCTGATATCAGGTTACATTCAGGACTACTGGAAATAATATCATACAGTAGTTGCAAAGTCAGATTGAGCATTCAAGTAGCTCGATCTAAATATCGAAAAGAGAGATCTATTATATACAGCTAATTACAGATCCATAGAGCTCCAGATCCACATTACTCCGCATCCGGGTATCTCACATCCAGGTATTCCCAAATCCAAATAACTCCATACCCAGGAATCTCCATGTTCAAATGTTCCACAGAAAATAACTTCAAATCGGACTATTCTTGATAGAATATAGCCCGCTCCAGTTTAATTCCTCCTCGAACTCTATCTCTGGCTTATATTCGCCCCTCATTTCATACATGGCTGCCGCCGAAAAGCCCGCTTTCATGGCCGTACTCTTGTTCCACAAAATTCTTCGAATCAAGAATCTCATGGCATAACCATGAAACCCGAGCATTTCTACCCAATCTTCTTTTTCCATGGCAAACATTTTGTATCCCGAACCGACAAAGTTATTGGCAATGGATGTGGCCGAGGATCGTGGAAGAAAGACATAACAGGCCCGAAGCTGTGCTGCAATCCACATACGACACTCGGCATTAGTGTAGTCTTTCTTGGGGGTTGTCTTCCACCTTATTCTTTTAGTACAGTCTGGGTCCTTGGTGGGAAGATCTCCCTCGTAGACATCGGTGACTACTACACTTGTTCGTCAGCTAACTTGGGTTTATATCGTACAACTCAAATGCCGCGGCAGAGAATCACGTAAGAGTTTTTGATGCAATTCGGTTGGTTTCGCCCACTTGAATCAAGCAAAGCAACGAGAAGAGTTTCATACATCTAGATGATCATAATGATTTGAGTTGAAAAGAAGACTTGGTACTTACGGGTGTCGTCCGATTTATTGAATGATTGGTTTCTGTAAACCATTGCCGAGTTGTGTCTCTTGTAGCTGAGCGGTGACTTGAGGAATTCAAAAGGCATCATGATCTTTGTAGATGATTTATTCGATAATTCATGTCGAGAATGGCAAGTAGGTAGGTAGATAGGTGCACAGGTCGAAACAGAAGAGAAATTTTGCGAGCACAATTATGCGACCTTTATATAGTGAGAATCTAGACCAGTGAATACTGCTAGAAGACTAGTCAATTTAGCTTACAGGCTAGACTCTCTAGTCCAACGAAGGGGTGGGGAAATCGGTCAAGATACTAGAAACACGAAAGTTGAATGGCTTCTAAAAACCGATTTTTGGGACTTTGGAATCGTTTATATATAGTTAAAAGAGAGGTCAGAGCAGGAATAATTCTGTGATTTTTATCATAACGTTCATTGCAAACTGAGAAGATATCTGCAGGTGATCCCCCAAAATAGACATAGGGTTCTCTTGCTAGTCTTGTCTTGCATCCAAAAAGCTTATTTTACGCTACCAACTCCACACTTTGACATGCCGAGAAACTTTCTTGACATTCAACTGATCTCGATCACGCAGGGAAGAACATGGAACACGCTGACATGGGAGTTGAAAACCTTACTCTCGTCAACGGTTAAAAGTAGAATCATGAGACTGTTGATATCAGAAGCCTCGGAACTGCGGAAATTTCCAACAAGTGAACTATCAAAAAAAGGAAATGGAGACAGGTTCCTATCAGGTCCCAATATCATATCGCTGTCCTTCTGTGACACAATGACCGCAAGTCATGCTCGGAGATCCAACACTTGGTGGATTTCACGTGCGTACGCACAAATCATCTAAGAGAAAGTGATGAGTTTTCTTCCCGTGACCAAACTAACCTTATTCCACGTCCAATTGTCGTGGTGGCCTTTCCTGGATCCATGGTCCAGGGCGTGGTTATCATGACGCGCATACATTTTTTAAGACTCAAAACGTCGATTGAAAACAGTATGAGAGTCACTGTTCTTTTCGTTGATGTCCTCCATCTCTTGATGATAATGTTGTTCGCACGCCTCCATTAGATATTCGGTAAAAGTGGTCATTGACGCGCACGTGCTCTCAGGTGCCATCATTGTCTTGAAACTCTCATGGATGCAATGGCCTTACGTCATCAAGTTTAGAATCAGCCCTGCGCATGGAAAAAGAAATTGATAGCCTTAAGAAATATTTTGAGTCATTGCCCCACCACAACTTTTGCAGAAGACAAATGCATTTGCACAGTTTTTGAAAAGATTCAATGAAGAGGAAGTATGTTCAAGACATCTCAACGATTTTTCAAAGGTTTATTCAAAAGGAGGAGCCGTAGAATACAACGTTAAAGGTTACCGTTTTCAATCTGGCTTTTCGAATTCCACGAACGGCTACAAATCTCCTCTCAAAATTTCACAAATTTAGTATCAAAATGCCTTCTATTGAAGTGAACGGTAACGCCGTTAAAACTCGCATTCTTCCAGTCAATGTGTCTGAGGTTGGGCAATTCAATAATCAAGAAACCCTTGAGAGATGGGAACTCCCTAAGGATCTCTCTGGACTACAATCTATCGCGGAAGCAGCAGAGTACCTCAAGACAGAAAGCATACCCGTAGCCTTTCCAACAGAAACTGTTTATGGATTGGGTGCGGATGCAACGCGAAGCGATGCTGTGAAAGGGATATACAAGGCTAAAGGGCGACCTTCAGACAATCCACTGATTATACATGTTTGCGATCTTACCATGCTACGCAGTCTCTTGACCTCGACCGATAACCGAAGCGTCGATACTGATTTTTCCGAAATCCCAGAGATCTACAGACCACTAATTAAACGCTTCTGGCCCGGTCCCTTGACTGTCCTTTTACCGAATCCATCCCCAAGCAAATTGGCACCAGAAGTAACAGCAGGTTTACCAACATTCGGCGCACGCATGCCAAGTTCTCCTCTTGCGCTTTCTCTAATACGTCTCGCTGGCGTTCCACTCGCCGCTCCATCTGCGAATGCCTCTACAAAACCTTCCTGCACAACCGCTCAACATGTGTCTCACGATCTTGACGGTAGGATCGAAATAATACTCGACGGTGGTGCGTGCCAGGTCGGAGTAGAAAGTACAGTTGTAGATGGCATGTGCGATCCTCCAGTTGTTCTCAGACCTGGTGGTGTGAGTATTGACGAAATTCGAGAGTGTCATGGCTGGGAAGGTGTGGTGAAAGGATACCAAGACCAAAGTGAAATTGGAGACAAGGCACCCAGAGCACCGGGAATGAAATACAAACATTACAGCCCCAAGGCGAAGGTTATACTGTGCGAGAATGGGCGCGGCATTGGGCCTCTTTTCGGGAACGAAGCGCTCTCAATTGTAGCAGCACGAGCTGAAGAGACGGAATATACTGGGCGCAAGTCTTCATCCTCCGACAAGCCAGCCACAGTTGGTATTATATCTACTCGGAGTTGGAGATTTCGACCCGGGGATGAAGATTATACCGACTATGATATTCAAATAGATGAAGATGAAGACAAAGAAACTACAGACATAGAAGGGGGCTTACAGTCGAACGAGTTCGCGCTCTACACAAGAAAGCATAAACCTTGGATCAAAGATTCGAGTGATCAGACGACAGGCTGGCATGTGGCGAACTGTTTGAAAATTGCCTTGGGTAGTGAAATTAAAGATATCGCCCATGGTCTCTTTTCGGCCCTGCGAGAGTTGGATCAAAAAGGATGTGATGTCATTTTTGTGGAAGGCATCAAAGACGAAGGGGATATTGCGGCAGCCGTCATGAATAGGCTTCGAAAAGCAGCCACGGTCATTGAAAGATAGAAGATACAGAATCACTGCCAAAATTCATTATATCTAGATACAATTCCATAGAACAAGCTGCGTCCCATTATGATTTCACTATTCCTATGCCTGGGAATCTGATATGCCCCAACTCCAGTACAATCTAAACTCCTTTTATGGCTCCCAACCAAATATAATGTTGCCCATCCACAATGACACGATCTTCGTTCTTCATGCCCTTCACAGACCCTGCCTCAACCAATCCCCTAGCTTGGCCTTTCCGAATTGTGCCAAATTGTTCATGCCTTGCTCGCTCAAATCGATGCCCTTCAATTGTGCCACATCTTGCGTAGGCGCCTTGCTAACTCTTTGGACGATAATCGTGGGGTCTGTTTCGAGAATAATACCATCATCAACCATCTCATCGACTGCTAGGGAAAGGAGGTCGTAGTTTTCGATTATAGTCCGTTTGTCTACGGATTGTCTGTGGCATATTAGCTTTGCTTTCTTTCGCAACCCCGAGTAATAGAGAGAGAAGTAAGGAATGATTCCAGGGCATGTCCCATCAGGACAAGACGTACTTGAATAGCAAATGCAAAGAATCCCTCAGAGCCAAAATAACATTATAAAGCATAATCTCATTCTCATCCACTCCTCCAACTACATACATCATAACATCGCTCTCGCTCTTATATAACACAATACGATTGTCGTAGAGGATGATATCTGCGTTTTGCTTTTGGGTCTTCTCGAGGAGACCTTTCTCGAATGCTTTTTGCGATTTTTGATCGGGGTATGGTGGTGCTGGAGCTAGAGACTATGTCAGAAGTTATAATATCAAAAACGGATATAGAAAGCACATACAAGAAGAGTTGTGGTGGGGTGGTGCATAGTATTTGGTGAATACTCGAGAGCCATCTTCGGCATTGAGGATTATGATGGCATTGACGGAGAAAAGAGACATATTGGGCGCCATGATGATGAATTGGGGCCGATTGTCAAAAGTATTTCAGTAGGAGTTGGGTGTGCGGTGTACGGTGTTCGAGGAGAAGTCTTTGGAGCTGGTATGAGAACGAAGCTATTGGTATGGAAATCGTGGTCGCAATGTCATTGGTGCCTCAGGGTTCATGGATTTTGAGAAATACGGAATATAGTTGCTCCGTTTTCCGGGATCGTGTAGGAGACAAACCACAGAGTAGATCGATGCCTATACTTGGCAGCAGCTGTCTTCAACAACATAATTGTTTCTCTTAACCTTTATATAAACATGCCTCTTTGTAAGGTCTCAGGGATATAGTGATACTTATTTCAACTATCTCATACTCGCGCGTTTCATTTGTTTCTAGTTTAGGACTGAATTAGTTTGAGATATTTGAGTGAAGATTTGATTTTTGTAATTGATCTCCGCATGTTTTTTTACCTATCCATAACGCGCTTCATCAAATAAAGGGAGGGTTGATACCCGATATGGTTCATGATGCAAAGATCATGATCGGCGCAAGATGAGTTTAGTATTTAGCGAAGGTAGAATCAAGTGATCAGTCCTTGCGCTAGCTTCTCGAGTCTACATTTAGATATTTCAAAGCTATGGAACTCTTCATTGAATAACGGTACATCAATAGAAATAGCGTGGCAATCGTTCGTTGCGTTATATCACAGCGGTGATTACCAAGTTTAGGCCTCTTCTATAGATCACTATTGCTCTCAAGGCTAGCTTTTCTTCTGGCATATCTATTGGAGCACCATTCCGATCTCCTGGTCTATCCTGTGACTCCTAATTGCGGCTGCTCAGATTGGCAAAGTGAGAGTCTCGCCTTCTATTAGCTTACATATGTAAACCACAGAGCAGAATTAGATCTCACTGTTCTCCATCTATGTATTTTCTTTGTTTAATTTAAACCACTCATCGCCTTCATTCTTCCTTGATCGATTATGGAAGTTGAACAGCATATACATTATAGGTGAACAATGCCATTGTACTTGAATAAATAGCTCGTTTTACAGATTACCTCTGAATGCGAACATCTTTCATTCATTTAGATACATCTACCCACACGCACGCACAAACACTAAACTTATCAAACCAGATCTTAGCTATCATGAGTTCTGACGATGATTTGCCCGCGCGCAATGCACCTTTCCATGACCCGCAAACAACTTCAGCACATTCAATTTCACGTCAAGGAAGAGCGAAGATGTTCCATCCCCTTCCAGGGCAGCTTATCAAAGATTGTCAGAGTCAATGGTCGGATAGCTTAACCAGGTCTCAAAAGTACC